AGATTGCGACAATAATTTATTCACCTGCGAGTCAAGTGCCAGATTATATTCTGGATTCCACCCATATTATATTCTGGGCGATGAGTGTTTTGTTTATTTTACATACTGTTATTGTACTACCCAAAGCCGGATTAAAAATCCCACCATAAATGTAAAAACCTAAATCGATTTAGTGCTTTTGCATTTTCAGTGTAGCCTTTGTTGGCCTTAAGTTAGGCAACAGTTTAATATTACATGGTCATTTGCTTAATGACGAAAGACAGTGAATGAAATGACAAATATATGATTGACGCCGTAAAATTTTCATTTCCGCGATAAAGAAAACGGTGTTGGATTAAGACACAGCAGAAGTAAACCTGAGTGTATTAGCTAGCTTAGTGGCCAGTAAATATCATGAACAATAACATCCAAGCATCGTAAAGAAACGAAAAAGGAACCCAAAACCGTTGCCAGAAAAATCCTGCATTGNGATTAAAAATCCCACCATAAATGTAAAAACCTAAATCGATTTAGTGCTTTTGCATTTTCAGTGTAGCCTTTGTTGGCCTTAAGTTAGGCAACAGTTTAATATTACATGGTCATTTGCTTAATGACGAAAGACAGTGAACGAAATGACAAATATATGATTGACGCCGTAAAATTTTCATTTCCGCGATAAAGAAAACAATGTTGGATTAAGACACAGCAGAAGTAAACCTGAGTGTATTAGCTAGCTTAGTGGCCAGTAAATATCATGAACAATAACATCCAAGCATCGTAAAGAAACGAAAAAGGAACCCAAAACCGTTGCCAGAAAAATCCTGCATTGGTTGCCAAGCATACATCACATAAAATGTAAATAAATAGTACAATGTACCACGGTAAAATGAATAATATAGATGGAATAGACCATAAAACACTTTGAAATAAATATTTCCTTGCTCCCAATGCATTTCTTACCCGTTCATACTCTATTCTCTCTCTCATCCTTGGCTGTTGATTGATATCGTTCACGCCTATTCTACTTCTGCGGTGTTTAAGTTTTCGGTAAGTTAACCAGATTAACGTAAACATCGCTATCCAAGAACAAGTACCAAAGAAGTTAATAAATACACCATAAAAATGGCGCTCTTTGATTCCTGTGAGGACCAGTAATGAAAAAAGCAACGAAATTACTACCAGAACCAGTGAGAGAATCGTAGTGGCGCGTTTGGTAAACCTTATACGGTGAAAATGTGGATAAAAGAAGGCCGCAAATCGTTCGATTTGCATCAACAATTGCAGCCAAAGCTTACCACCGATAAGGAAATCTGTGAATATAGCAACAAACGTCGGCAGTCGATCAGGACACTCACTGTTCGCACCTCGTAAGATTTCAGTAACACCAAAATATGGAAGAAGAGTCGTCCCAGCCAAGAAACATAAAATGAACACTACGCGCATGATTCTTTCGATGGGCTTGAAATTTAAGTTTGGAGGGTTTTTTATCATTGCAATAGTAAGGATACTACCGCTAACAGATATGATTAACGCAAGAATGAGCGATGATATTCCATTTGCCAGCAAAAAGATGGCACAAAACTCCATAACTATCACTTTGTAGGCCTCTTTTTGATGAAAACCACACAAAGCCAGGCTGTTCTATCGGTTTGAGTGAACACTAAATACAGTATGCTGCTGATAGGGCTATTGTTACTAGTATCAAACACTGGCCTCTAGCTAAGCATATTTAATGATTAACATAGCAGCTGTTCACTACAACAATATATAATATCGTTACATATTCTTTGGTTGAATTGATGCTAGTACCATTCCTCTTAGGAAAAATTGTCGGGGAAAATTGTCTCCACTCTCGTTTCTTAAACTTTTTTGACGAATTCAGATCCGTAGAAATCGATACTTCAATATCTTCATTGTATTTTAAAACGTTTCTGGTAGATTTATGGTCTCAGCTGGGAGTTTCACAATGATTAAGGTTTTATTTTTATTGAACTCATAAGCTCACTTAAACTCATCCGTACTGTTTTAAAGGCTGTCAATTCACTGTAGCTTTCTCGTACATGTTAATTGGGGAATTAGAAGGCTTTATACTGTAATGCATCCTTTTCAGGGTGTTTCTTGGATNCACTGGCCTCTAGCTAAGCATATTTAATGATTAACATAGCAGCTGTTCACTACAACAATATATAATATCGTTACATATTCTTTGGTTGAATTGATGCTAGTACCATTCCTCTTAGGAAAAATTGTCGGGGAAAATTGTCTCCACTCTCGTTTCTTAAACTTTTTTGACGAATTCAGATCCGTAGAAATCGATACTTCAATATCTTCATTGTATTTTAAAACGTTTCTGGTAGATTTATGGTCTCAGCTGGGAGTTTCACAATGATTAAGGTTTTATTTTTATTGAACTCATAAGCTCACTTAAACTCATCCGTACTGTTTTAAAGGCTGTCAATTCACTGTAGCTTTCTCGTACATGTTAATTGGGGAATTAGAAGGCTTTATACTGTAATGCATCCTTTTCAGGGTGTTTCTTGGATCTGAGTCTGTTTCTTCAGCAGGAGAAAGGGAAGCAATAGTAAAGTCAGGTGACACAGAGGGAGTGCTGGTCACGAATCACCAATTTGAATATGCTCAAAACTTCGTTTGAGGATTCTTGAAAGTCAAAGGGCTCACTGGTTTTTTTGTAGGTGGGGACGGTTTCTTCTTAGCTGTTACGCAAGACCGAAGAGGCACCAGGGCGCTTTCCATACAGGCAACATTCCTGGTTCAACAGGTTTAAATGCAAATGAACGCACGGATCGACCGAAAACTTTCGGGAACAAACCGGTTCCATCTGGTTAGAACAGAAATCCGCCTTCTATTTGCCCAATTCTGTTTCGGCCGGCGGCTGGAGCCTGGAATTCTTCCCGCCAATTCCAAAGTTTGCCGGTGAGTGTTGTTCACGGGCAGTCACAGTTTTTCTTTCCGTTTCTTATCGTATCGTTCAAAATGGCATCTGCATAAGTCTGTAGACTCAAAATAGTTTTGAATTCTGTTAATATTTCTTCTAACGAAACAGCACAAACGCTGTTATTGCCACTGCTGCTACGTCCATACTCAACAATTTCGCCCGCAATCCTAGTGACACCAGCTAAATCTTCTAAGGTTTCGTCAACAATCCTGGAAAATATCTTGGGCACAGATTAGGCCAAATTGAAAACGCACATGCCTGTACCTTAAAAGCGAAAAAAAAAAAGAGAATTAAAGGTAGAACACAGAGATCTTTCTTCATACAGCTTAATGATCCAGTAACTGCTTCGAAATCGGTAACAAGGATTAGGAAACATCTTGTACCACCTAGCTCAAGCAACATATCCTCAAGGGTGGTGTGAAATAGTGAGGCTTCTTGTTGGTCCTATTCAGAGTCAGATCCTCAGGGTGTACACAAAGCCGTAGTGCAATATTACTCTCAGTGACACAAACAAGGGAGTTGACCCAGTCAGTTGTCTTGCTCCATTAAGATTTCCTGTGCGACAAGAGAATCAAGTTACTTCCTCAAGGATTCCTTGAGAGACTCCAATGAGGGCTTCCGGTACGCGGCGCCGAGGACGCACAACTAGAGTAACCTTAGGATCGACTCAGTTCAATTTGTCACTTACCTTGAAAACAACCAGTGCCTTCAAAGCCATCATCATGGGTTGCTGGACAACACTTGGTTTGGACTCCTTCTAATGGCTTAAATCATACTTAAGTTCAAGGCAATCAGGTTTAAATCTGTACAGGTAGGTACAGGAACCTCCATGGGCTAATCTGAGATGACACATGTCATGCCATGATACCATGATGATCAACAGAATGTCTACCAAATGCAATGTGGCAGCCTGACAAAGCAGCCGACATTTCGCAACGACACCGCTTATTTCCCTACGAAATGGCATCTAAGGAACGAGAGCAGAAATTCTATACTAATGATGCGTCACTAGCCAGTTCTGGACGGTTCTTCTGAGGGATGATCTAGCCGGATCTGGGTAGTGATGTCTCATCAGTATCGATTGTTTTCCCTCGTTCGTTAGACGTCATTCCAATTTCGTCATTTAGTGATCCCCGTCTCTGTACAAAAGGATCGCGGCCTCTGGAAACGAGATTGGCCTCTTGCTTGTACTATTTTCAAGGTAATTTTCGCTTATGCAAGTGAATTAAGTTCAATCTATTTTTCATAAATTACTGAACAGCGCGCGCGTATAGGTAAAATCTTTGCTCGTTGGCACTGAGCGATATCTGTAGTACTTAATTGCAAAATTCCTCTTAATGGCAGCTGTTTGGTTGGTACCTTTTCTATCGGATATGTTTTCCTTTTAATTTCGAAGGCAAATCCCAAATATAAGCCCCTGAAGAAGGAATCAGGGTGAAATCTGAAAAGCCTACTAAAGAAACGTTTTCCAGAGAAGGTGTAAATAATAATGAGCTTGCATTACCGAAAAGAAAAGGGGTGTTAGAACTAAAACTTTTACATATGTCGAGTTCACAGTTCATGAATGCATAAATATTTTGTATAATCAAAAGTACAGTCAGAATAAAGATCTTACGTCTATGCGTCTTTTTTTAACAAAATATCTGTACATTATAATTTATATTCATTATTTAGATCATTTATTTGTCTAATTTAGTTTCAGTCAGTATGCCGTAAAGTAAAGTTTTTCACTCAGAATAAAAAGGTACAATTCTACGATGATGCAAATATATTTATCTTCATTAGGATGAGCGTGATGTTAGCCCCGAGGAAAACATAAACCTGAAAGGAAGGTCAGTATCTAGTGTAAGGGACTTCTATTTCGTGCTTTACTGGTGAATAAACGCCCGCCCATAGTGCCGAATGGCTGAGAAACAGCCAGTGACTTCGTCAGTTTATTTGCCTTTAAATCATGAACTACAAATCTCTAAATGCTTTTAAAGATTCACACTGGGTGCCCCGCATTTCAAATTCGTTTATTCAGTTCTAAATGAACCAATTACGGAATTCAGCAGCAAAAAATAAAGACACATTTTGTATGTAAAAGTCAACGAAATCAAGTCAAAATTTTTAAAGGTAATGTAATAAAATTACAACTTAATGTAACGTTAAAATTGCTCCTTAAGGTTTTTAAAACTGTCCTTGAAAGGACGGTCCAATCTACCGATCAGCGCTCACGAAGTTTGAATATTTTTTATTTGCCGCATTTCAAAATGAGCATCAATATTGTGCACAAAGGGTTATAAACTATATACATTCAAATACTGTTACCGAATAGGCGGATAAAGGCTTACTCCACTGAAAGCTGCATTAACCTGTTCCGTGAAAATAATAGCATGGGAATATCTACATATAGCTTCCATATTTTAAATCTGAAAACTGTTCACGAATGACGATCTTTAATATGCTCCAGAAACCAGTGTGCAATGTTGATTCATTTTGAAACAAATCGTGTGATACTCGCTCAAGAAAGAAGAAATTTTAGTAGTCGTCTTTTGAACCATATCCTTGTTAAGTGTTCGGTAGCTGGTTGCAAAAAACCCGTCTTTCACATGCTATGCGGGTAAGAGATCTAAAGCCATTTTTAAAAGTTATTGCTTAAATACTTGATAGCCCTCTTTATACGATGCGGTACACCACGTCGAAGCCTCGTCTGGTGACTCGTTGATCAGATCTAAAAATGATCGTTACCATCTCGCCTGTTCCTCTGATGTAGAATTTCTTAACACACGAAGGACCAAATTTTCCTTTCATCATTTTTAAAAATATTCCTCCCCATTTGTTATCATTGTCATCGCAATCATCATCGTCATCATCATCATCATCATCGCAGTCATCGTCATCATCATCGCCATCCTCGTGGTCGTACTCGCCACTCAAACGACGTACCGCGCGCCATCCTTGAAGAATTTTTACGTAGTCACGGCTACAGAAGAAAAGAAGATAGTTAGAATAGATGACAGTGACTATATATAGCTTGATAACCAGATTTCGGTAGGAGCCAATCTCATACAATTGCAGATTCATGAATATATGCAAAATGCAGGGCAACTACTTGTTTAACCATTTGAATATTCCTGATCAAATGGATAAGAATGAGCCACTGAGGTCCCTTTTGAGTTGAAAAATAAATCTAAGCAAATTCCATGTCATTGAAAAAAAAATGTTCAAATATAACATATGTATCTTTAACTTTTACTGACAAAAATGAGTAAGGTATAGTGATTACCAGCGTGACTATCAGTTCGACTCCTAATGATATTAATGGTAAGAAAATAACGAACTGATTTTTCCTATCTACTCAGTTTGTCAACTCACCACCGCTGTGTTTCAAACGTTCTGAATTCCAACATCAGACTTGATCCTAGTGGCACCGTGATTGTCCACCTACAGTCAGCATTGTTTGGATAGTTGCTAGGGAAATTAGGAGATGTAAAACTCCCTGATGGTGCAACCAGTGGTCCTCCACATAGAACTATTTCAACAAAATTTAAAAAAAGTATATATTTAATGTAATTTAAGTGAATCAAATTATTATTTCAATAGCCACTCCAATTGGACGAACCGTGACAAACACCTCGAGGAAGGTATTGGATTGTTTGTCCTTCCTGGATAACTGATGATAATTATGATATAAAGTAGCTTTTCGGGAAAAGGGCGATTTTTGATTCTTTCGGGCAACAGGGAAACAATGATATAATATCTAGCTTGAAAGAAAATTCTGGAAATCCGTTTAATTTTAGAATAGGGCTCTTTAGAATAGGGCTCTCGATCGGTTCCTTCGTAGTTGGTTGCGGTTGCAATTAACTGCGAGTAGGATGAGGCCTGGATTTAATTTATTCTTTACAAAAGCGCAGCCAATGAGTTTCTTACTCGCTTTAAGGTAATTCTATTGGTTAGAATCGAAAAGGAACAAGAGAACTTGGTAAAATTGAATCTCTGTGAGGTTTTTAATTATTTTGGTGGACAAAAGAGAAAACTAAAACTCAAATTATTTTTCGAGATGGGGAAATAATTTCATTTAACTAACTTTTGTTACAATGAATAAATGAGATTTGACAAGAATTTTATGTTTTAATTAGGATAATAATTTCGTAGAATTATCATTTTCTCCTTTTAACAAAAACAAAAAATGAAAAAATACCGGGTGCAGCCACATTGTATCTGGCGAAGAATCCTCTCCTTGTAACACTGTAATCGGATCGGAAAACTATTTTTATCATCTCGCCTGTCCCTCGTATGGTTATAATTTTTCGTTCGTCTTCCTCTTCGTCGATATCGTCGAGATCATCAAGATCGTCAAAATCATCGTCATCGCCACATTTGTCGTCGTCTCCGTAGTAATGCTTTTTCTTGTCATCATCATCATCATCGTCGTCGTCGTCGTCGTCATCTCCAGATAATCGACGAACAAGCCGCATGCCTAAGTAAATTTCCACGTAATCATAGCTGCAGAAAAAAAAAAGTTCTTTCTGGCCACCGTTCAAGTAACCTTATCAGCAAGGATTACGTTAAGTAACCTTACCTTATTATTGTCTTACCCGAGGTTTGAGTTAAAAACTGGTCTATTAAAGAGAACACAGCTTTCGGCAGTGCGCTAAAAACCGGATGTTGAATATCAATTGGACGAAAACGTTACATGAATTCAGTTATAAACCATCATCATACTACATTTTTTACAAAATCAGTTGATTGTAGCAATGAGTTATGGGTTATAATAACACTGATTGGGTTGATGGTAACTAAAATAAATATTGCACTTGACACCACAACATTTAGAATGCCATCATAGGTAGTAGAGGACACTGTTTATGAAAGCCAACCAAAGATGAAAACAAAATAATGGTATTATTGCAAGCTCCCTAACCTTACACAGTTGCTCACAAATTGTGACCGAATAAATTAATGCGATTTTTCTGTTGGTCAGTAAATTCAAAAAGGGAAAAGTAATGCTATTCTAACAAAGAGATCTGACAGGCTTCATGAGTTCTTTTCTTTGTGTCCAATCGGTCTCGATTTCAGCTAAACTATACTATTTGCGTAAGACTACAATTTATTACAAGTTAATCTTTTATTGTGAACATTTTGCACTTGAAAATGGAGCCATGACGACACCAAAACGTCGTTCCACTTTGCCTTTTATTTGCTTATGAGGACCTGAGTATCATGACGTTTCTCTTGATATAAAAGATATAATAATAATAAATTAGAGTACTTGGGACGCATTATGCATTACTTCAATGCGTTTGCAAAAATTAAATAGTTATCATGGCCTAAGATTACAATCAATAGATTGAAAAAAAATACAAAAAAAGTTCACTACATCAATAAATATATAATTGATGATGGGAAACGAAAGAAACCTTTTCCTAAATATACCGGCATAGTTCAGTCAAACAAACTATAAAAATGCGTCCTGAAAGAGGTAGGTCTCGACCTTCATTTTAAATAGATCTAATACTTCCATAATTTAGGTACGGCTACTGAAAATGCTCGGTCCCCATAATTAGAAGTGAAGGATTTGGGGACAACAAGAAAGCCTTGTGTTCACTCAGATATTCCGGAGCGCATATATTGATGATTTGAAAAGTCATTAAGAAAACTTTAAATATTATCCTGTGTTGAACAGGAAGCCAGTGCAGTTTTTAGATCCTATGTTAACATACAGCTCATTCATTCAGCATACATTTACACACATTATTCACTTACCAGTGTTCAGTTTCAAAAAAGAGGAAATCGATCGTGAGAATCGATCCTGGTGGAAGAGCAAGTGGCCATACACAGTACGCGTTGTTAGGATAGTTCAAGGGGTAATACGGAGATGCAAAGAACCCGGATGGAGGAGTCAATGGACCACCACATATCCCTGGGAATTAGAGGAAAGGACATTTAATCTTACATGTAGTGAACGTGAATGAGCTTCCGGTGGAATCCCTCACATAACCTTGCTTGTATTAAGCTGCCTTCAATGTCAAATGACCAATGACCAAAATATGCAATGTCAGTTGCCTTTGGCGACCAATTATGGATTGGGCTTTCTCCGAGAAAAAAAGACAAAATGGCGGACTGCTCACCTAGAAGGCGTTACGTGACCCAGTTCCCCTCCAAACAACGACGTCTTCGTTGTGGGATGGTGCCAGGGTCGACCTTTTCGAAATTGAACAACGTCAAGAGGGACGCACATTAATCAAAAACGAATAAATGTTATTTCCTTATACGATAAACATCTAGCGGGGCAGAAGCAGAAACATATTCACTTGCCATGGACAGTCAGAAGCGCTTTAAATGCAAAATCCGACAAAAATAAAACTGAACTTTAATTTGCTTTGCGAGTTTTCAGAATTTACTGTCATTTAATAGTAATTGACCCGGTCACCTTTTAAAAGCTTAGAACGACAATAATTTTTTGGAATTTCTGGTAGATCAAAGTAATCATGTTATACTATCATGCTAATTTCTTTTGGGTTGGGGGGTGGGGGTGGGGGGTAGAAAGATTGGAGGTGGGGGACGGGGGGTGGTGCGTTTTGGAAATGTGCTAGTTAAAAATAATGCCAATCGTTTCTTGTTTCAACAAAAGGCTAAGTATCTAATCTCTGTCCCATTCCACCGGTTAGAGTCGGCCATACACTATTGCCAGAAAAAAGCGTAATTATCATCTATACTTCTCAAACTATTAAACCACTGCATCAGGCAGTCGGCAGCCCAATGGACCCCCACTATGGGGGTCTTGTTTCATTTAATGTAGACATCTGCATTCTCGGGTATTTGAAGATATTGTTACCTGGTGGGAGAGGTGGAGGAACAGTGGTCATGGGAGCTGCTGTTGTAGGGACAGTTGTAGTTGGTGGAGGGGTTGTAGTAGGTGCCATAGTTGTTGTTGGTGCCATAGTTGTGGTTGGAGGCTGGGTTGTAGCTGGTGGCGGATTAGTGGTTGCGATACCAGCAGGTACAGCCGCGGCATTACATAAAGGCGTGTTACAACAGCTTATCGAACATGACTGGAGTGCTCCGTTCCTGGAGGTATTCACGAAATTACAACCTTGGTTTCCACCACAAAGGAATTCAGGAAAACATCCTTTTGCATACATAAACTGGTTTAGAGCTGAGTCAAACGCTTGAAATGTGTAGCAAACCAGACCTGATGTACAGTTGTCTTTTGCCTGGCCAGCGGTGCAATTTGCAGATGTTTGTCCCTCACAAAGAATACATTGCAATGGAGAGGCTGGAGCTAGAAAAGAAAATAATGATGTGGTTGAGAAGCTACCTTCATTAAGATCATTCAGTTAAAAATATGGTAAACTAAGGAAAAATTGATTAAAGAATGGAAAACCAATTGGTAAATCCTGAATCAACAGTGTATAAAGTGGCTTTGACTGCAAAATTGCACTTAATAGGGTTATATTCACCAAGGTAAAACGTTTATTTTGTAAAAAGTACACAAACATTATGGCTCAATTTTATCCTATGGTCTTTTTACTCACGTCATGACTAAAAAACAATGAAAAATAAAATTTAAACTGCGGATAAAATTATACACCGAATGCAAATATGGCGGACCTCTCGGCCGGTCCGGGTCTAGTTGGGCGAAAGCTAGGCTAGTAAGGTCTCAAGAGTTTTATTTTGACTGCGCGTCTTAGCGATTGAGTCTGTCGATATGGTTTGCTTCGAGTTGTTGCGTGCCTGAGCGCCACCAAAAAGAAGATTTTACTCTAGCTAGAATAACCTTTACTTTCCTGAGATCTTTTCACAAAGAAAGTTAAGGATTCATGCGATTCGGCGCGGCGATGGGAATCACTTTACAGCGAAAGTGTGCTCGCTTCCCTTGCTTTAGAAGAGAGGAGGACTGACAAAAGTATTTGAATGAAAGAATTTTCGCAAGAGATGGTGCTGCTCCAAGATGTTTGCATGGTCTATTATTTATTCAACAAAAGGTAAACATTCTCGAGAACGGGAGCATCCGCTGTGGACTTTAAGATCTTTTATTTTTCACGCTGAAAACAGCTGCATTAAAATATAACAATAGTGACGAGTGTGAAACACAATCACCCAGTGTTAATCCTACAAGCGTAGCCTGTGAAACTATGCAAGAACCAGAAGAAAGCGACATATTTCAAGAACAGCCCTTGATCAAAGTGCTCTGAAAAAACTAACAGAGGAACCGTTGCGAACTAAGATAGTAAGAAGAAGGAAAAAGGTTCTGGCAAGGAAAGAGCGTGCATTAAGTATTCGAGCATTGTATTTAAACTTGCGCATTATCTATTTTAGCAACTTGTCGAATGGATTCGAGATAAACTAACAGCGATTTTCCAAAAATTGCTTCTTTTGTGGCACTGCTCAAACTCCTGAACACAGGATCATGAGGACTGTGAAAACATTCGGCCTCGTTGTAAAGTGTCCCTGAGAGCTCCTAAAGATTGGTAAGTCGCAACTCCGGATTCACTCGTTTTCAAGGATTTTTACCTTTCCTTAGTAAGAGAACGGACAAAGCAAACTTGAAACAGATCCATCTCTCAGTTATCCGCCCATTCTAATTGTTTCGCGAATCTTCTCTTCTGAAGTGAAGCGAGCACACTTTCGTTCTTTTAACTCCGTGATAGTAAAGTGCCTCCATTCGCCACGCCGAATTGCTTGAATCCATTTCTTTCTTCGTTAAGAGCCTTGGCAAAGGGAAGATAATCAACTTTCGTTTCCTCTGGATTAAATCTCCTCCTTTGATGGCTCTTTTAAGAGCCAAAGCAAGTAACAGCTCGAAGGAAACCATATTGATCGACTCAATCGCTAAGACGCGCCGTTAAAACAAAACTCTTTAGGCCTGACTAGCCTCGCTTTCGCGCAACTAGACCCGGGCCGACCGAGAGATCCTCCATATTTGCATTAGGTGTATACCAGAGAATATATCCGGTAATTACAGTTAAATCTTTAACCTAGTTTTCTGCATTTATATTTCTTCTCAACCCTTTCACAAAGTGTAATGATAGGTTTTTACCTTGCTCCTGAGGCTGTAGACTGAACATATCTGGATAGACTGCACGAGTCTGGACAGACACAAGGTATGCCATCACCAGCTGCCGAAAACAGACATTACATTTCATTATTACATTGTGTGAGAAAGTGTTCGGACACTACGAAGCTGTGGATTTAAAAGGAGACTTTTTATTTATTTTGTTTTATCAGGGATTCAAAGTAGTAAAAAAAAAATAGAAAGCCACATTTTGAATTTGGCATTGGTAGCACAAACAAGGAATTTTTAAAATTCGATTTGGTTTTGGAAGTTTATACTACTACATGAAAAATTTATGCAATTTGATTGGCTTAGTTTTGCAGGTAGTAGTATAAACAAATAATAGCATGATTTGTACGTGATATTTGGTATAAATACCACTCGTGATATGATAATTGTCTCAAATTTCACTCGCCTAACGGCTCGTGAAATTACGTATAACTATTTTGAAATGTCACTCGTGGTATTTATACCATTTATCACTACTAATCATGCTATTACCTATACTAATTAGAATACTTCAAAACCAAACTGATCTAAAATGCCAATCGGATGATAATACTTGTGATCAAGAGTTTCAAGTAACTACACGTGCATGTTATATTAATAAGGCAAGCGCGGGAAATCGTGACTGTGTTAAGTAAAGTACGAGACTCGTGTCAACGCAAATGAGCAAAACATCAATAGAAAATTAAACGAAATATAATAAATTCAACCAACTTCTACTAATATATAATGAATTTAACCCTATACTATAATGCTGAAATACATTAAATATAGATAAAACCAGTTAGAAGATTGAGTTTATCTGCAGTTTGTCCAGAAAAAGTTTAGCGTGATTTCATATTGCTACCACGCAGTAACGTAAAGGGGCCAAAGCAGCAATGTGTGATTACTTTACAAACTCAGTTGTAGTACAAACTTTGATATTTCAACCTTTTAACATGGTTTACTTTTAATCTGTCATTACCAAATTTACTGCTTTAGTTAGTTAACTTTTCTTTGTCGATTGTGTACAATTTTAACAAAAGTTAACAACAGTGAACCCACAAAGACTTCGCAATACTTTCTATTTATGTTTCCGTGATGAAAAATATCAATCTAGCATGAAGTTTAAAGAAATGATTAACTGTGATAATAGAAAAAACTGTGACGTCTCCTAGTCTTGTAAACAACAAATAAATATGTTTTTCTATACACCTTGAAAAACACTTATATATAGGTAACTTGAAACACTTTAAAATCGCCGCATTTGTGAAATATTGGCGATTAAACAGTATATCTCCAACCTTTCATCTAAGAGGTCTGTCCATGGCGTCACATACATTAATCTTTCTGGGATGAACAGATTGATATTTCACTGATTTTCATTGTTATAATCATTGTCCAACTGAGTGACTTGAAAATACATTCTTGCTACTTAGTGTTCTTGTGTTGATCTTGAAGTTTTCAGTATAATGTGCGTGCATCTTCCTACATTCTCGTAAAGAATGTATAGTCATGAAAGACATAATACATCGGTTTTCCCTTTTTCGTTTACTTCTTTCTCGGCTTTGAAAATGACTGAAACCCGATTCAGGGCTATCAGGAAGCGGAAAGAGCTTTTCGATGGCATTTTGCCTTGCCTTCTCTCTCTCATCTATCTGCTCTTAGAACCTTTAATTGCTGCAATCAGTTGTTTTAAATTAATTAATTGCTTTACATAAGAATATGCATTTTCCCTAAAACAAAGCAAATGCATAACAGCCGTAAACGCTAATTCGCCTTCTCATATTCCGAGTTGCTCGCATCGATAACACCACAACCAGTTATTCGAGATCACAAACTCCGATCAGTAAGACATTTGGAGTATAAATCAAGTTTCTTAAAAATTTTCAATGGTTAAAAGCTGTTTCAAGTCATACTAATATTCACTATTGCGATTAATTAGTAGCTTTACCATTAAAGTCAATAGAACTGTCTTCATCTTGGTTTGAGTTCACGTAGCGGTGACTTGCAGGTGATTCTTCCCCCAAAAATCTACTGTTTTTAATACTTCATTTCTAAATGCTTATATATAGCCTCCGTTAGCCAATAAGACTGCTTCTCGACTAAATTGCCGAGATGATACTATCGTGCAAAGATATTGTATAATATAAACTCAATATTCGCCTTGTCAGTCATGTTTGAGTTGAGTGCGTTGTTGATTTTCCTCAACTGACTTGGTTTGAGTTGATATAGTCCACTATAAACACTAAGGATACAAAGTGCTCGGATTTTTTAACCACGAAAATGTTTCAGGTCGACGATAAATCATAGTCCTAGCTTTCAATACTCTAAGACGCTCCAAATTGTGTCTGCCAAACTTACAGTCATACATTCAAAGATGCTGGCAGAATATCAATCTTATCTCGTAATCTAAACCACTCTCTTTAGGTTGTTCCTTTGGTTATGTAATTATTGAATGGTGTTCTAGTTTGTTGCACCAAAGCTAAGTTAATAAAAACTAATCAAAATCTTGTTAAATTATTTGTTCTAATGATGTTAATGATATCGCAAAGGGAAGCTTAGAGATACTTAATAAAGTGATCCAAATACCAATTTAAGGCACAATATCGCTTAGTTTGAACTTATACTAAGCAGGCTATAAAAATGACAGCGCAGGTGGCCTATTCTGCAACATGTATTTAGTTTCAGTCTTAACGTTTTCTTTCCAATACAGGTTATAATTGTTCTGGAATAACACAAATACTTATCAATATTCTTATACTCTTGATTTATGGAATATACATTGATGGTAATTTACTTTTTGTTGAATGGTTTATCTACAAGGCCTTCGTCTGTTACTCTTGATATGGAAGATCCTACGGCTCGCTCTATCAACAATTTAACCGAACCTTAAGTTGGCTCGGTTGATACAATTTATTTCACGATTTATGTCTTAGTGAGTAATAAGATGTGCTTAAATATTACAGCTTATTTTCTTAAACGTAAATACGAAAGAAGGGATGGAAAGCCTGAATAAAGAGAGAAACAACAAAAAAAATAAATAAAACCTTTCAGGCAAACTTACTAAAAAAAACAGTTCCACCCTTTTGTGGACTGACAACCATTCTCACTAAAACTAACTGAACTACTGTGTACTTTCACTAATTCTACAGTTTTTCTCTATAAATTATATATTTCTATTCAGTTCAGCTGTATACTAGTTGCCTTTTGGCAACACAACATTTTAAATGTTGATGTTATAAATTGTCCCTTTAACCTAAATAAGACTATTGTTCGTGAAAACCACACTGCTTACGTTTACTTAAGCCAATTAATCTTCTGTTGAGAATGACTTAAGCATTTCTATAGGTGCCTTTTATTTTTCTGATATAATGATAGGTTTAAGATATCGCCTACGGAGTAGAGAGAGGACAAAAAAATCGAACTATCAATCATATATTAACAAAGATGGATAACGATGTTAACGTTACAACAGCGTAGTTATGATTCAAAAGTATCTTCAATATCGTTGCACATGAAGCGATGAAATGCTACTCAAACTCTTAATTTGTGGTTAGCAGGTGGATTGACTGCCAAAAAACTACCAGTTAACAATGCCATCATGCGTTTGAGGCCGGTTTAAGACAGATATTCTTCATAATTTGCCAAGTCACCAATACAGCAGGAGTGACTTTCTGTAGGCAAAACAAAACAAACCGCTTTACTAAGAAACGCTTAAAAAGAAAACCAGTGCAAAAGTCAGACCAGTAGATTAATGGGCTCAGTCAACTCAGTAAAAACTGCTTTTATAGGTAGCAAGACAAATGTACACCGACTTAATACGCTAAAATCACACCAGGCCTGTGATTAAGTTGTTACTTGCGACCGGCACCAGTTGCAATCATGGGACAGTTTTCAGATTCCGACTACAACGGAAATGAATAAACTGCTTAATGAAAGAATATTGTAGATTAACATCACACTTTATGTAATTAGTTTTTATAATAAGGGTATACTGAATGAATCATAAGATTCCTTTTTTAAGTGATTTAAATACCGAGCTGTCCGATGACTGCCGCGAAAAGCTACTAATTTTCACGCTAATGCTTAGCGCTGCAAAATAGTTAAACACACGGTTTTGTGTTTGCATTTTTTTGCATTAAACTGTTATAAATTTATAAAGCAAACATTATACGAACTGTTAAAAGGGTGTGATAAATATTGTGGACCGAGTCAGAATATATCCATGTTAGCAGGGCTGTTAAGAATTTTTAAACTGAACCCATTCACCCAGTTTTGCGAATGGCTAACATTCATTTTAATAATTTAGAAAAGTTTTTTCGGTTGAGTCTAGATTCCATACATTTTTACTACTTTCATAACAGAGAGACAAGATGGGCTGTAATATTTTTCATATGATTGATCGGACAACTTCCCTATGTTGGAAGAAGTCTTCACAAATAAACAAAATGTCGTTAATTTCATTGGCTTCTTCGTTATAGTGAGGAATTCTTATGCTGCTCGAAAAGGTTGTCAATAAAAAAAATGCTCTTAATATGACCAAAAATGCACGAAACGTTGTTGACAGTATATGTACATGTACACTCAAAATCCTTTAGTTGTTTTGGGTGAGAGAAGCTGTTTAATTAATACCCTTTTCTTTTGCATAAAATGGTAAGAAGATTCGTCATCGCAGTTGAAGACGGCTTATGCAGTTAGGAAAAGCCTTTCCTTTTGCAACTGCATATAAGTTTTCATTTAGCGAATCAAGCAAGTAAACAACTACTATTAATTTGCTTATTAAAACAAGTACCAGTGACACCACCTAACTGTGATGTAGGTTCTCTTTAGAGGAGGAGTAAAGTGTTTTGTATACTGATTTAAAAACGATGTTTTGAAGCAAAACAAATAAGGAATTCGCAATACTTCATGAGAATTCCAAAATATGCGTTGTTACATCGTATCGGGAATTAAAAATTCAGAGAAGGTAGAGCTGGTACTGAGGAATTCGCCAGCTTTTATCAGCTAATTACAGATTGTTGTCGCCAAATGATCACCTTTATGTTCACCTTCACTGAACTATGGAAGTCCCCAAGGTTAGCACGATGGGAATTCCCATTTAACTGCATAAGGGCAACATTTAAATACAGGTCTTGGCCTCTTACCACTCACGCTAATAATTCCGCTAAATATTGTCTAGTCGGCCTCTGTTACTGAATTTTCTGGTATGCATTGTTTTCTGTGCAAACTATAACTCCCCTTCTATCTGTTTACGGTATTCAAGAGGGTGTGTTATTTTTACTTTCCCAGATAATATTTCATTTTATATTCGATCAGTTTGCTTGTTTCATCCCATCCCAGTGTTTTGTTGTGCACCGCCTTAATAACGTTAATGTTTATTAATCACTTAAAAGCAAGTTCTGTATTTATTTTGTTATTGATAAACCAGTTCACTATTGCGAAGCCATTTTGAAGCCATTACATATATTATATTACTAAAGCTTATGTCGAAAGAATATATTCACGATTGACAGGAGGTTAAGAAGGTTATTTATGTGAAGTTAAAACAGGTGATTTAGAATACGTACAACAAAACGATTAAAAATAATAGAACATCTCATTTTTAATAATCAATTTAGAAAGAACAACGACTTCTACTAAACGGATATATGGTCGACGGTAATTTAGGAAACGGATTGAAGGTGATAAGAGATACCATTACCTGTATATCAATACCATTTTTACCTAGTTTATCCTCACTTGTTAAGCGTCGCCCCCACTTTGATGAAAAAGTATGTATCTAATATAGTTTAAACCAAAACCCACAATATTGTAAGTGGAGTGAGAGGTTTCTCTGCGAGAGAACATACCAAATAGCCTGCAGTAGGGTCTTTTCTTAGTGAAGACAGATGTAGAATTTGATATACATTCGAAGCAACTCAAATAATGTTAGAAATGTGTAAGTGTAATTTGTTGTTTTTCTTTGTTGATCCTAGAAAAGGAACCATTACAAACCTTATATTTACAAGAGGCAAAATGATATATTGAATCTTATTACCTTAAGCTGTCATTTTATTGGCTAACGCAGGTTATTTATTAGAAGTGTAACGGAAAATCTGTTAGATCAAGGAAACAACCGCACAAACGTTGCAAGCAAAACTAAAGCAAAAGAAGATACCATGAAACTAATTATTCTTTTTCTATCGGTAAGTTTAACCATTCATTTTCGATACATTTCAGTTTTTCTTTTAATCATAATCACCAGGTAAGTTCATCTGTCGTCTTTCGGAGTAATTTCACTTTCAAAAGGAGGAAGAAATTGTTGGTAGCCCCTTCGTTTGGGTATGTTTCCAGACCGATTACTAGTTCATTATTACAACACTTCGTTATTTGCCGTTTACTGTTCTCGATTTTCGTTGATATGAACTCATTTGATAGAAGAAAGGCTATCTTTAATAAATTGACATCACATGATATCCAAATTGCACAACAACATCGACAAAACTGGTCATTGTTGAGGAGAAGAGGCTTACATCGAGAACGGTGCACAACCAAATGAACAAATAATTGAAACTGAAGTGCAAAAAAGGAAAATTAATATGTATTGCCAGGCTTGAAAAGATGAAAATACAATTTGGAGGTGAAGGAAAAATAATTGACAATTGAAAAAGCTAGCTATCCACAATTTCCCTTAAGTGAGTTTGAAGTCAGATTACCCTGTTATTGGCGACAGCAGAAGGGGACAAGGAAGGAGAGGCTTGGAAACGACTGAATTTATTGCATGACTGCGCCGGCAATCCTCGTTGAATCTATATAATTATGTAAATGCAGGCAAACTTTAGCAATTTTAACTGATCTCGTAATTTACTCTTGTATTTGCTTACTTTTCTGGCTTACAAAAGGACACGACTTCTTTCTTTGAAAAGAACAAGCATCGTTTTGACCGCTTTAACATTTCGTTGGAAAGTAAATATACACGATGATCAGAAGCTTCTTATTAGTTCTCTGGCAACGAGAATTGAATATCAAAAATACTGTTTTTAAAAATGCAATGTAAACCATGTTCCCTAACAAGCTTAACACAATAAACCTATACAGCTGTCGACGTTAAACTTGAGCTCCGGAAGGGTGTTTTGCAGTAAAGCTAAACTACATTTATTGCAATTTTGACAAAAATAATACCAATGTCATAAAAATACTTGAATTATGTAAGTTCCTTTGACAAAAGGAAGGCTCCTTCTTGAAGCCATAAATATCTTAAAAACCGTAAAAAGAACTAAAAAATGTTTTTATGCAAGCTTGAAAATTTTGAGATCCGACTTATCCTGGTAAGTGTATTACTATTATTAAGTTAATTAAATAACTCTGTATCCTAAGTTTGGAAATTCGTACAATCACGTACACTGTAGTGCATATCATGTGGTTCTAGACGTTCTACCCTTTGAAGCAAAGACCAAATGACGCATAAACGTGTCTGTCTATTTTTTTTTTTTTTACATAAAACAAATGATTCGTTTTTCACTTGTTGGATGGTATATATTTTTACTTTTTTCTTTTTTTAATATTGAAGCTTATTGATAAGTAAAATACAATATACAATTGAATATTAACAATTTGGTAATTTTTTTTTATTTATCTATTTAACGATTCTTTTTTTGTAACATCCTGTATACCAGTTGTATCGTGTCTGTTCCTTCTATTTTACTTTTGTAATATCATTCTTTCTTTGTTAATATTCAATTTTATATTGTATTTTACTTATCAATAAGCTTCAATATTAAAAAAAGAAAAAAGTAAAAATATATACCATCTAACAATTAAAAAACTCTGTAACCTAAATTTTGAAATTTGTACAATCAAGTTAACTGTAGTGTATTTCATGTGGTTTTTGACGTTTTACCCTTTTAAGCAAATACCAAATTACAAATAAACGTGTCTTTTTATTTTTTTTTTTTTTTTACATAAAACAAATGATTCGTTTTTCACTTGTTGGATGGTATATATTTTTACTTTTTTCTTTTTTTAATATTGAAGCTTATTGATAAGTAAAATACAATATACAATTGAATATTAACAAAGAAAGAATGATATTACAAAAGTAAAATAGAAGGAACAGACACGATACAACTGGTATACAGGATGTTACAAAAAAAGAATCGTTAAATAGATAAATAAAAAAAAATTACCAAATAACAGAAATAACTACAAAAGTCAAGCTTGTTTGCGGCTAGAGGCTCAAGGATTCACGAACACTTGAAGACTCTATAGATAATTTGTATTTCAGAAAAGCTTTAAAGGGTAAGAAACTATATGATTCGCTTTCTTTGACTGCGCTGTAGATATAAAAACGAGCGACTATCAGGCAATTGATTTGAAGAAGGCCTTTGACACTATTGACCACGACATAATCTAAAAAAACCTACTAAGTATGGCGTTGACCAAGACGCCCTGAAATGGTTTAAATCTTACCTAACTAGCCGTATGCAAAGGTGTAACGTAAACAATCATCTATCTAGCGCGAGCCCTCTAAATTGTGGCGTACCTCAAGGGTCAATAACTGGTCCTCTTCTTTTCTTAATCTACATAAATGATCTACCAAATTGTTTGAATGTGGGCTCTACTAGAATGTATGCCGACGACACTAATGTTACCTTTTCAGCAGCTACTATACCTGATCTTGAGTCCCAAATCAATAATGACCTGAAATATATTGATCGCTGGCTCAAAGCTAATAAGTCAAGTCTCAATGTCGCCAAAACAGAGTTTATGGTTATTAGCTCGAGGCAGAAACTACAGTCCTTAAATGACTACACAATGAATATTCATATAGACGGTGTCCCAATAAACCAAAGCAATCAAACAAATCTCTCGGGCTTATAATTGATGAAAATCTCTCGTGGAAGGCCCACATTCATGAAATCTCTAAAATAGTATCCTCTGGTACAGGTGCTCTTAAGCGGGTCAGGCCATTTGTTTCAATGCACACTGCAATTAAAATATACAAAGGTCTTTTCGAGCCACACTTTGATTATTAAAGCGCTGTATGGGATTGACCCAAAAACTTAGTGAGAAACTTCAAAAACTTCAAAATCGTGCTATCAGAGTTATCACCAAATCTAGCTATGATACTAGTTCCAGATTTCTTTTTAACTCGCTTGGTTGGGACAATTTAGAAGGACTAAACAAAAGGCTAATTTAATGTACAAGTGCATCAATAATCTCGCCCCAGCTTATCGCTGTAATTTGACTTGCCCCAAGAACACCGAATTACTATTTTCGCAACGCGAAGAAAAAATTAATGCTCCCAAAACCAAGAACTGATTACCTGGAGCGTTGCTTCAGTTACAGTGGCGCTCCTCTATGGAACAATCTTCCTGAGGAAATACGTACATCAAATTCCTTAAGTTTCTTTAAGAGAAGTTCCCATAGATGGTTTTCTGATCAGTACTCCCACACGGCAAATATGTAAAACAGTTTTTGAGAATTTTTAATTAATTTTCTATGTTAGACTGATGTTTTTAACCGTGTTTAAATAAAGTTATCGTTCATTCAAAGATTAAACGTATGGAAGGATCGATTCTCAGGGAGAGACCCGTAAATCTTATCGTTATTGGTCAAGGACACTGAGGGCGAATTATTATCGTTCCACCAAGAGGTAAAAAGATTCCAGAAGGAGTAGACATGCTGGCATTCTACTAACAGATGCTCTAGGGTCTGCTTCGATTCACACACATGACAGGAGTCACTGTCAGTAATTTTGGCCTTGAAAAGTTTGTCGCGTAACATTTGTTTGTTGCATAAACGTATCTGTCCAATTTTTTTTTTACCTAAAACAAATGATTCGTCTATCACTTGTTAGATGGTATATAGGTTGCTCTCTATCTTATTTGTGTAGTGCGCATCATCTCAATTTAGATGGTTGTGTTTCTTTCTCGCGGCTGTCAGGGCGATAGCCTAACTTCGTTAAAGAAAGACAGAAAAAAAAATAACCCTTACCTTACCAACATTTTTCATAAACGTACTGTCGAAGAAGTAACAAGCCGTGTGCGTAACGCGATGGCTTTATAGTTAGCGATCGCAGTATTGAGCATGGAGAGGAACCCAAAACAAACCTTCATTTCTTCAGTCGGTATCTTGAAAGTTAAAGTAACCACCATATGCACAAACCATTCTTTTGCCCTCTTTCTGAATACAAACCCGTTTTTTCAAGGGTAACCACCACGCTATTTGTGATATTCTTCGGTAATTGCCGTTCTCACTTGCTTTTCTACTAGCTTGTTTGTTTTCTACTAGCTTGATATTTTAGGACCCAATGCTAAATGTGACAAAGCTTACTTCAATATAAGACTATCATTCCCGCTTGCCATGACAACTTCGTTCTGAACCATGGGATATCAACTGAAAACCTGTTTCACTCATCTACTTGACTAATTTGGACAAGTTTATCAATGCATTATAAATGTAATGTTTTAGAAGCATTTCAGTTGCTTGATTTACATAAGGTTAATGTATCTTGGGAACTCAAAGAACGTACAAGATCATTTAAATAAGAAATTCGTCAACCTACATGATAGAAATATTAGCATATCACGCATAAGGGTCGAAGGTTTAAGAAGATATGATGCCATGCGGGCATACAGACGAATCTCTAAGTGGCTTTCCATTATTTAGTTAAGAATTATCTTTCAAGTCTTATAATGTATAATGTGATGCTTATTAACGTTTTCAATTTCAATTTGGAGTGTCCATCAATAAATGCATTAATAAGGTCCCCCAAAAAGTTTGTTTCAACAATACTCTGTGCAAGTAGTCCCTCACGTATCACGGAACTTGTTATAAACATTAACACAACGTTATAAGTTGACAAATATGATGATGTACTTTTAAGGACGTTAAACTAACCGAATCTCGTAACCTTTATGGATGATGTGAAAATTACAAACCTTTTGCGGGTAGTAGTATAAACAAATAATAGCATGATTTGTACGTGATATTTGGCATAAATACCACTCGTGATATTTCAAAATTGTCTCAAATTTCACTCGCCTAACGACTCGTAAAATTACGTATAACAATTTCGAAATATCACTCGTGGTATTCATGCCAAATATCACTACAAATCATGCTATTACTTATACTAATACAGGATGCGTACTGGTCAGTTCTGCTGGTCACTCTGCAGGCGACAACGTCTTCAAAATTTAGTTTTATCTTTTCAGGAGTTTTTCTCCCTTTTACTTAGATAAAGCTGTGATTTCTTTGTTTTTTTTCCTCTGGTAGGTAGTGGTATCCTGTGTAACAGTAGCTGAATCAGTGAGGTTACCTTTTCCTCTAAACATGTTACCTGGGAAACTGTTGCCAGGTCAACAGCAAGGTATGAACATGCGAAGTTTCACTTATGTTCATTCTAGCACAAAACATTGAGCTTGTGGACCGCAGATTCAAGTGGCAATTCACTTGGAAGAAGGCAGAGTTCAAGGAAGGGTTAAAAATTCAAGCTAATTTTATTTCCTCGCGCCAAGAAAAATAAAAGCTGTTGTAGTGTAGCCGTTGTAAGAGGTTCAACTGTATTTATGAAATTACTTGCTTTCTACAATTAGTATGAATTTTGGACATTCCTTTGATTAAGGATTTGCGTAAAAATGGAATTTAAGTTTCTGCAATAACTTTGAAATATAATATATATAAAAAAAAAAAGGAAAAGGAGTATCTTTATCATTATCGTATCGAACTTTGCGCCAGGAGGAGCATAATTAAGGTTAAGTATTTTAATACTTGATAATGTATAGATTTAGCCCGGGCTAAAAGCGAAGCTCTCGATAATATTTATAGTTTGTTCAAACAAAATATAAAATATTGTATAGTAATGCTCAGGTGCAAAGGCCGGAGCCGGAGAACGGTGAAAGACAACAACAGCTCTAATTAGCAAAAATGCAACTTTGCACGTGCAGCACACTTTGTTTGTACATTTCTTTGCGGTTGTTGTGCACGACTACAACGTGAAACTTCCAGAAACTTCTTAGTTACACGTTTTATGGAGGAAATGTCGTACGTGTTCTCGTTCACTTTTTTCCACTGCCGCTCATTTTCACCTTGCATTATTGGGGGCCGCTAGCATTTCTCATTTTGTCACCGGCGCTACAAATTTTTTTTAAAAATCTCCGTCGCCCTTTTTCTCGTTGAGCTTCGCTGGCGTGCCGCGCACTTTCTCTTTTTCTCTGTCTTTCTCTTACTCTATATTCCAAATTTGTGGACATGACAATTTATCTGAGCTTAATACTTTTGACAACACGGATACAGAAAAAATTTCCGCTTTCCGTTTTCGTCTTTTTTGACTCTTTTGTTGTCTCTGCTTTACAAGACGCCGGTGGCTATGCGGTTTCCCGCCAAAATAACCTCGAGTTGCATTTCGGTTGCCATACCTGTTGATTGAGTTATTTTACATTGGTATGCCTGTGGTGCGGACGGACGGTCGGTGTACGGTAACGTGAGTACCAAATTTTCTCGGATGGGTAGATTACTTCATTTTCTTACCAATGGTGCTCCGCTGGCGCCCTGCGCGCGCGAGAGCTCCCTTATAAACACTCAAAGGTTTTAGGGTCCTGAAAATTAACAGAGCTTAAAGGGGGTACCTTTTTTAAGCCTCGGGTTATGAAACCTTAATATTATGCAATAAAACAAAACACAAACAAACAGTTGACACTGCGCCAACACCAAACACCAACAAACAAAACTCATTTATACCTTTGTTTTAGGAATGTGTGGTGGTCTTCTCACTGGTCCATCCGGGAATTTGGCATCTCCTTATTATCCTGACAACTACCCTAACAACGCCTATTGTGTCTGGACAATTACTGTACCTCAAGGATCACAACTCAGAATTGATTTTCTTTTCTTCGAAACTGAATCTTGGTATGTTTCGAATTCCGCAATTATATTCTTGATTATGTCATAACATCAACATAACCTTTGCCAAATGAATTCAAGTTTAGTTGGAAATTTGCCATCACGGTTTTTTTAATCTTTTGAATAATAAAAGAACTTGGAGCTGGGACTAAGAAAATGTCATCAATGAAACTTTACTATCCAAAAAAGTAAGTAAGCCCTTCAAAAGCATTGATATATCATCACATTTTGTGTTTTCTTTTACCGTTGGATTTGAATAAAAATATATTCCCCCGATTTAATTTTGATTTCAGTAGCTTGTTTTACTATGCTAAGTAGTATATATTTTTACATTAAGAAAAATGTACAAGAGGTACGAGAGGTCTAAAAGTTTAAGCAAAGCGTGTAATTAAGCAACATAAAGAAAATAAACCAAAATATGTTTTCCATTTGTATTCAACTTTACAGCCGTGATTACGTCAAAGTTTTTGCGGGAAGACGACTTTTACATCGTGTCTCTGGGAAGGGAGTTGATACAGACGAAAAATATCTCAAGAAAATTGATGATGATAAAGATGACGAATTCGATGATGATGATGATGAATGTGATGATGATGATCGTGATGATCGTGATGATCGTGATGATCGTGACGAACGTGAAGACGGTTATGATGATAAACGAAGTTTTGGCAAACTCTCCTACGAAAACAGGCGCCGGCGAGATGTAAATGTTGTATCCATCCAAGGAACTGCTGAGCCAATCAGGATTGTTTTTAGATCGGATCCTTGGGTCACCAGGAGGGGATTCTTTGCTCATTACACTGTTGGACAAGCAGGTAACCCAGTAGAACCCACTCTCTACCGAACGTTCACGTGTTAACAGGAGTCTGCTGCTAAGTAATGTTTTTGAAAAAAATCTGCAGTGGAACCTCGCCTTTAAGACACCTCTTTTCGAGGGATACCTCCATTCAAGAGACACAAAATTTGGTTCCGGAAAAATGTTCACATAATCTTTGTAATTTTGTTTCCTCTGTTGCAGAGACATCTCAGGGGAAAGGGACACGTTTGCTGGGTCCCGTAACCCAGGTTTAACCTCCATTCGGGGACACTTTAGCACTCAAAACGTGACTGACCACAAAGAGGGTTGAAAACTTTAGGTGTATTACTAATCACAATCATTTCATCTTTCACAACATGAACTATCTCACTTAAATCAATGCACTGGACTTGTGGAAATTCAACAAACAATAATGCAGAGATAAGTTTTTCATGATTTTTTGTTTGTTATCTAGCTGCTTTATAATGACTGCAGCAGATTCTGAGGAAAAATAAGAAAAATTATGTGTTAACTTTGCTTGTTAATTAATTATTAAGAAACCCCACACCAACCTGCATTCAGGAGACACCTCTGTTCAAGGGACACTTGCCTCGGTCCCAAGGGCGGTCCCCTAATAGAGGTTCTACTGTAATTTTTTCGGTCTTGAAGTGTCGAGCAGAATGATGATTTAGCTTCGTCGTATTGATGACCTAGCTAATTTACGTTTACCCAAAGATATGATGGAGCTGATCTATTAACGCTTGTCTTTAGACACTCATGGACGAATGCAACCTTCCAAATTAACTTTTGCAGAAGCCTACCATTTTTGTTAGTTTTCTATATTTTAACGAACAAAGTATGAAGAAGCTACATGATTGTTTACTGATATTCTGAGTTCTACTGCTTGAATTATTTTCTTTGATTAGCAATTTGTGGAGGTCCATTGACTGGTATATCTGGAAATTTCACATCACCTGGTTTCCCTGCTAATTATCCAAATGACGCACGGTGCAGATGGTCAATTACTGTGCCAAGAGGATCGACCCTGATGCTGAATTTCGTTACCTTTGAAACTGAGCGATGGTTGGTTAATGTAATATTGAGCAAATAAATTATCTATTCATAGCTGTCCGTTCAGCCTTGCCTTCAACTTAAAGTAATTCTCTGAACTATCTATAACGACTTTAGGATGACATAATTGCATAGTACTATTACCGCAGTCACAAACAAAATTGTAATAAAAAACAATAAACAAATTTTACGTTTCTTAGCCTTTCTAATTAGAGGTCCGAAAAGTTTACGTCAAATCAGTGTCATTAATTACTTTAATTTTTTTAAATTTTTATGTTACTTTTTATCATTTTTGTCATTTTTTTTTTCAATGGTTACCAGGTGTATATACACTTGAAAAACATAAATGAATGGTTGTTAAATAGTTCATTTTAATTAAGGTAGCTTATTTATCCGTCTTATCAACAGTCACGATTACGTTGAAATCGTGCAAGGATGGCGAGTATTGCAGCGTATGAGTGGAGTATATTATCGCTATGGTTGGATCAACGACGAAGATGATGACGACGACGATGATTGTGACGATGATGACGACGAAGATGATGACGACGACGATGATAAAGACGACAGAGATGATCACAAGAAGAAAAAATACCGAACGGGAGGATTCTTCGGATTTCCTTACTTGTACATTCCAGGAACAGGGGAAGAGATTGTAATCATTTTTAAATCAGACCGCATTATCACCAGACAAGGATTCAATGTGATGTATCGCGTATTGCAAGGTGAGGTGAATTTTATTTATTTATTTATTTTTTCATCTTTGTTTAGTGGGAATTAAGGACAAACGTTCAACTGCGCCTCACACGCGCGGCCTTTTGCCCTGTGTCTGGTTTTTGAAGGGTATCACTATGAAAGACAAATTTTAAAGTTAACAAAAATAAAATGGAATGATAATGATAATAATCATAATGATGATAATAATAATTTTTAATGAAAAAATACTGTATTAAAATCTTATAAAAACTACACACAAAACTTCAGTAAAATATTCATAAAAAGAAAACGTCCATATCAATACAAATTTCCGACAAAACCCCTTCACCATTCAGAATTCCAATAAATCACGTAGAGCTATAAAGAATCAAGTCAAACGTCCTAGTGGATGGCATAAACTTCAATGTGCTGATTTTAATAATGCCGATAAGGTTCTGATCCATGAGGCGAGATATAAATCTATTGCTGTTCATTTTCCGTACCAATTACCCAATATAGAAAAAATTCCGTAAGAAAACATTTAATAATAATAATAATAATAAAGGTGCTCAAAATTTTATTTGGTTGTGAACAAACACTACCAAACATTCTCTAAAAAAATAAAAATCCATTTCTGAGAAATTCACCGTTGCACTTGAAACGTAAAAAGTAATTGCTTTCTTTCTCCGTTTTTGTTTGCAGGTGGTTTATTTGGATAAGACAACAGATTGTACGTTCACATCCAACAGCATAATAACCTTAGTTAGCAGATTGTTGTTTTGTGTAGGATTGTATGCTAGAAATTCCTGCATTGCAGACGTCTCTTTCGGGAAGATGTCAATCGCTCATCATTTCGTAAGTGTGGTAGCCGACATTTCCTGTCCGCTTTCATTTCCTTCCCTTCCTTGCATTGTCATGTTGAACATGTCACTACTTTTTTGTTTTGGAAGTTGTTTTTTGCCTTTTCTTAAAACGTTTTGCTAGGCTGTGGAAATAAGAAGATATATCTCATTCCTCGACAAGAAAAACAATTCCCATTTTTTCATCCATCCATACACTGCTAAGGAAAGCTTGTTAGAGTAAGTTAGGACGCAGGAGATATTCTAGTACTTGAACGCCTTCAGAAAATTCCTGCAGTGCAGTGCAGTTAAAGTGTGAGACCAACACTGTCACTGAAAAACAATATCATTCTGTAAATAGTGAAATTAAATTCAAGCAGCTGCACTTAAAAAAGAACTATCAGGCCGAATGTTTTCTATCATTTTTTTCAGTGTTTTATGATTTGATTTTAAACTTGTTCCTTGCTTTGTACAGTATTAATATTCTTTTCGCTAAAAATAAAGAGCTTTGTATGGAAGTGTAGTCACGTTCTTTTTTATATAATAGGCAAATTTAGCAACAGAACGGGAACGTCAGTTGACGACGGCGCGCGCAAATCAAACAACTGGCTTGACCAATCGCAGAGCGGCAAATTGGGCACCGGCAGTACCGTTTAGTCCTTTCCGCACGCTTTCCCGTTCTGTTGCTAAATCAGCCTAATACCTCTTAGAGGCAGAGTATTAAAAGTACATAGTGCATGTTCAGTTAATGTTGTTAATTCAGGGGCACAATATTATAAGATTTTACACCAGAATTAATCTGAAAAAAGTGCTTTTATCTTGCACATTTAAAAGTCCATGAATAACAACATTTCAAGAGCGTCTAAAAGAGAGTTTACCGCGACACCTCTTTTTAATTGCCTTGAGTCGTAAACGAAAGAATTTATTTCCTGTGATTCGTGAAGTAACTAATTTATTTCTCGAGATTCATGAACATGGTCTATAATTAGCTAATTTTTCGTGAAATATTCAACGTAATCTTTCGAGGTACTTGATATGTCAAGGTCAAGTCTGTCCAATCTCGTTCTCAGAGTCCGGGTAATACCTTGTACAGATTGTCAACAAAGATCAACAAAATGCCACGCTCGCCACACACTACCAGTCCTAGACATGTAAAGACGTCACCATGATCACATGACCTGCATTGATTATATCATTTGAAATATGGATGGCGAGCGAAAATATGAGCACGGACAGTGAGGGAAGCGTTTTCCAGGTTTTGGAAGGTGATGTCTATTATGTCATCTGTCAGCATGATTCTGAGGGGCCTTAAGGACGGTGCCCACTATCGTTACTGCGCACATTTTGTGCGCATACCAAGGTAGTCGCGCGACGCGAAAGAAGTGCGCAACACGCAGGACACGCGGACTGGTTTTGTCTCCTGTAAGTCTGGGAGGTTCTAGTTATTTCTTGTGGAAAAGATGCGCCGTTTTTCAACAGATGAAAAATATTTTTCTATTTACATTGTCAGTTCTTTGAAAACCGAAGAAGTATGCGCATTTTGCTATTTCTACGTATGATCGATCTGACCGAACATTTTTATAGTCAAACAAAAGTCAATTCTAAAACATCAAAAGTTATTGCTTCAAGATGTTACGTTTAGGGCTTGGGTATTAAAAAACCCTTAATAGGCAAGAAGCAGTAAATCAGAAGGAAAATAGCTCTAAGTCCTCCGCTTAATCGAGAAACTGCAAGCTTACCTTTCACTCGCGTCCTTCGCGTTTTATCGACTTATCGGCTATAAACACTTTCCCGAATATTTCTTTAATTTTGTAAGATCTTATGTAATTATCCACCAGAAGAAAGACTTAAAGCGTTCGAGTACATACAGATGTCCCTTTGATTGAGAGTCCGAGGCTTTTATTTGTTGAACAAACAAGAAAAAAACCATCACAAGATTGTTTGGATTGCTGAGATCGCAGCTTCACAAATAGTTGCGGACCGCAAAGGAAACGCTTTCATCGTGGTAAAAATGATAAAAAATTGTTTTGCTTTTTACTATCATCATCGAAAGTGAAGAATGATCATCGCAGTAAATTTTCCAATTTAAGCAATTGGAAAGAAGAAGCCTGAAGAAAATCAGGGCTTCAACGGGATTCGGACCCGTGACCTCCGCGTTACCGGTGCGCTGCTCTACCAACTGAACTATGAAGCCACACATTTGGAGCGAGGTCAATTTATTGAGTTCATATCTCCCGTGAGGAGTGAAATGATGTGAAGTATATCTGAAATAATTCTTCATCATTGTTATTTAAGCATTTTGACATTGCTAAGCATTGAAATTATTGACTCATTGGCAGCTTGTCGTGTAGATAGCATTTCTCAAGGTTCAATTTCACGCCCCACATAATCTGGACATTTAACATAGCTGCCATTTGGCTGTTTACAAACTAAAGATGGAAGGTAAAATAAACTGAAGTATTTCCATTCTAAGACTTTCTTAAGTTTAACAGACACTGTTAAGTCTAAAATTAACATTTAGAAACGAAAAAGAGTGAATGATCATGACACAGAATGCAACAGTAAAAAAAATCAAAACGAAATATATAAAATGATCATTATAGCCCAGTGCATATATGAGGGTACATAAACACATTCGGTACAACTACTTTCACACTACTCAGCTTATTTAAAAGAGAGCTCGTGTATGGAACTTGAGTCTATGCAAATCATTTATGTCATATGACACTTGTGGCAAAGCCCGAAAGAGATAGCGCAAAGTACAGATATAAGCTCATTGAATGTATGCAAGTTTAATAACATATTCGATCGAGGTACCCGGTAAAATGATAAAAAAACGATAGAAGGTTTACATTCCATATTACATCTGCAGTTCAAAAAAATCTTGAGGACATGTACAGGTAAGCAAACGATTGAAGGAGTCACCTGTCTTAGAGTCCCTGTAGATATTTTCCACTACAGTACAGTAGTTTGTTTACAGCACCAGCCGTGGATCTTGAGCTCGCCATACTACTCTATGTGCGCTGCAAGTAATCTATAATACCTTGGAGATTGCCCTTCTCCAAACATTTTTGTTAAATGTTTGAGACGGAGAAGCTCCAGTTGAATGAAATAGTATAATTTGTTTTCCTTAGAGTCCATGAAATGTCCTGCTTCACTTTCTGTTTTTGCTCTCCTCCGTGTGTTGTTGTTTTCTCTGACTGTTAGCCATTGTGGATATCCCAGAGTACTCCGCGTTGAGTGAAGCAATAGTGAAACTGACCGGGGAGGGGATAGGGAAAATTGTAAATAACCCCCAAAGCGATTAAGTTAAGGTCGAAACCAACCAATTTAACTTCTAAAAACGCGTGGTAACCCCTACTTTTTATCTTACCAAATGAAAGTAATAAGCCTACTCAGCAAACGATCAGTTTTTGGTTCGGGGAAAATGTCGTTTATACTATTTTTGAGGCAAACGCGTGGAGAGGGGTAACTGCTGATAACTTTCCATTTGTGCTGATATTTCAAAAAAAGACGTATAAAGAGCAGTTGTTATGTTATCATTTGTTGCCTATTTTGAAACCTTGTTACAATTATCATTGCATTTGTGCCAGTTCACGTGTACACTCTAAAATTTTGGGAAAAAATAACTTTTTATCATTTTTTTAGAAAACGCCTATTCAGCGTTTTTCTCCATATTGAAGCGCAGTTATCTCTGAAAAATGCGTGGTTACCCCCAGTTTTCTTTTTGGATTTCAATAGCCCCTGATATGATCTACTTGTCTCACATAGTCATTATCTGGGAAAAAATACTTCCCATTATTACATGGCTGAGTCTGTTTTCGCCATGTGATTGGTCAATTTGCGGTCCGTAACTTGCTATACGGACCAAAATTTCAAAGAAAATCCTGATTTCGGAGCTCTAAATCTCTTTACCTCGGAACTAAGGTTGAAATTAAGTTACAAGACGTCTATCAACCTTGAGGACTTAGATTTTGACTTTGTCCTTCAACATTTTAAACTGTGTTTATTTGTGAACGAAGGCGATGAAGAAACTAACTCGTAATCTTATCGAAGAGGATTCTAGTCAGTGTTTGAAAATAATTGTTTTATCGTAGTACACAGTTAAGAAGACGAAAATCGACTGGCAGAGATTCGAGATGTTTTGCCTAAGAGAAAATGAGTAATTCCTTCGACAAATATGATAACAAACATACCTGCACCCGAT